CCCCCCCCAGACAAGAGTCCCCCCTCCTCTCAGAGTCCATGACATGAAACTGGGTCAGCGGGATCCCTGGTCCCCTTCCTTCGTGCTGGGTCCGTCATCACTAACTCCCGGGGAGAGACACTCTGCAGGGGAGTTTCCCCTCCCCCAATGGGTTTAAACTGCAGCAAGGGAGGTCTAGGTTGGAGATTAGGAAAAAGTTCCTAACTGTCAGGGTGGTTAAACACTGGAATAAATTGCCTAGGGAGGTTGTGGAATCTCCATTGCTGGAGATATTTAAGAGTAGGTTAGATAAATGTACCTTACACAGACTCTTCATGGCCACAGAGAGAGACTCTGGGACACTCCCGTTGTCCCCTTCTGGGCTGGGAAGTTTTTATTCAAAGTTTTTGGTGTAAAGCACCAACCTGCAGTAGCTTTAGCACCAGGGGAGCGCTGCAAACAAGCTCCTATTGACTGAGCAGCTACATGAACCGCGAGGAGCCGTTCAGATGATACAGGCCCCGAGCAAGAGGCAGGTACTTTACAAAGGCACAAAATCCCAGTCTCCGGGAGCGGTGCTCTGGGGTCCTGCAGGCTCAAGGGCCGTTCCTGGGATCCCTCCTCAGCAGCCTCTCGCCGATAACACACACGTGGGTGCGCGACGGGCCCGAGGAACAACGCTGGCTGGTTCTGCTGGGGCATACGCCGCTCACTGCTGCCTTACCTGGGAAAAGCATCCAACCCAGAATGGGGAAAATCCTCATTGTTCTGCCTCTGCCCACAGCCCGGTGGGACGTGGATTCCAGGGGAGTCTCTCCAGGAAAATCCTTCCTTTGTGTTCCTAGGAAGCCCCGGGTATGGGTTTCTCCTGTAGGCGTTTGCAATGAAACAGCCTCTCTAACTAGTTCTTTCACTGTAAGGGTTCCTCTTATCTACACTACTTCACTTCCCTCGAGAAACGCTAAGGGGGAAGTGGCTGGTGTCTGACTCAGTGCATGGTGGTTTGCTTGCTATGGTTGGGGTGTTTCTGTTTTTGTTTGGTGATACTTGCGCCAGGACCTATTACAGGGCCTGGTGGAAAATGGAAGCTGCAGTAGCAAGGAGTTCCTGAAATGTGTTTCAGGGTAGCAGCCATGTTAGTCTGTATCCTCAAAAAGAACAGGAGTACTTGTGGCACCTTAGGGTATGTCTACACTACGAGAGTAGTTTGATTTTACTTAAATCGAATTTTTGGAATCTATATTGCAAATTCGAACGTGTGTGTCCACACTAAGGACAGTAATTCGAGTTTGTGAGTCCACACTAACGGGGAAAGCGTCGACATTGGAAGCGGTGCACTGTGGGCAGCTATCCCACAGTTCCCGCAGTCCCCGCTGCCCATTGGAAT